CCCCCCCCCCCCGCAGGTAAAATAACAGAAAGCATGAGACAGAAGTGTCACAAAATAACAATACAAGACACGTGGTAACACTTCATGTTTATTTCCAATGTACTTCATATTCATTATCCATTTATGACTCATGACAAACTTGTGAGGTAGTTGGGTGGGTTCAGAAGTTTGGCCAAGGTCATACAGGGAGGAGGAGTAAATATTTGTTGAACGAACAAAAATATTTGATGAACACCAACTGTGTGCCAGGAACCATAGCCCTGCCCTCCAAGGTAATCTAATGGTGAGAAAATAGGGAGCAGACAAATGATCACACAAGACAAGGTAAGCCTCACAAGACGAACAGTTAGTTAAAGCGTCTCAAGGGAGAAAGAAATCATATTCAAACAGGAGGCTCAGGAAAAGCTTTTTTCAGGAGAGGAGCTAAGAATAATGAAGAGTTTGAGAGGTAGAAATAGCCCTTCCAGGCAGGGAATCATCAAAAAGAATGAAGGAAGAAGCCAGGGAACTTTGGTGTGGATTTAGGGAACAAAGAGTAGACCTTTTGTAATTTGGCCAGAGGTTGCCACACATGTAGGAAACCGGTAGGAAATGAAGGAGCAGGATCACACGGGACACACTGAGTACCAAGCAGAAGAGCTTATTCTTGCTTCTGTTGGGCAGCAGCAGAAGCTAATCGGAGCTGATTTTGGAAGATCACCAGAGTTTACAAAATGGTTTGAAGGGGAGTGAATGGAGGCCAGGAGGCCCCAGGAGGTGATGTGTGGCCCAAGGAGTAAGTCAGAAGAGCCCCCATCAGAGGCCCCACAGTGGGAGGAGAAAAGAGGTAAAGGGGAAACACATTAGGAAGGAAGGACTAAAGAAAAATCAAAGAGAACCTGGTACTTAGTGATCAGAGCTCCGACTCCAGAAAGAGTGAAGGAGCTATGGTCCAAAGGACAGCTCTGCTGCCTATCCCCAACTTCAGGGCTGGGAGGACTTGACCCAGTTAGAGCCATGGTTCCACCAGACTATCTCTAGAAGCAAGAAGTGGGTGGTTGGAGTTTTCTTGCTTCCCAGCCCCCCAGTAAAAGCCCGAGTTCTCTGGATGCAGAAGAGATCTTTAATGCTTATTTATTTTCCTTTTTTAAAAATTCCAGTAGAATCTGGAAAAAAAGTCCATTCTGTATAAAAAGACAACAGCAGGACTAGATGGGATCATGACTGTCTCTCTGCAGCCACTGTTCACACATCCCACTTACCTCTCCTTCCCCTAAAATCCTGGATACCCTCCCATCTTCCTCTGCTGAGAACAGGAACTGGGAATTTCCTTTGCACTCTAGCCCAGTACAGCTAGGGCTCTAGTATTGCTAGCACATAGCACCTCCCTGCACCTGCCCAAGAGTATCTCAGGAAACAAAAAGGGAAGGAGGAAAGACAGCGGCAAGGGAAATCCATCGTTTTGGGTCCTTATGTTTACGGCTCTGGACATATGGCAGTTCCTTCATTAGAACAAGGTGTTCAGAGGAGCAGAAGGGTGACATCAAGCAGGTCTTGGTCCCCTGTGCCTGGCCCTATAGATGTTAACATTCTCATTCTCATCCCGCTTGGCCAGCTCCAGTTGGAAATGCTTGGGCAGGAGGTGCTGAAAGAAGCTCTCTGTCCCGTGCTCCTCTCTCATCTTGGAAGCCAGATAGATGGTGCCATGGGGCCCGCACAGGTGTTGGAGGGTCCCCAGCAGCAGTGGGAAGGTGGGCTCCAGATACACGATATCAGCCCCCAGCACCAGGTCATAGTCTCCAGGGAAGACATGCTGGTCAATCCCCCAGGACAAGGCGCGGACCTGGGCCCGGCCTCCAGCCGGCACATTGGCCTGGACGTTGCCCTGGATCTGTTCTAGGACCAGGGGCAGGTCAGTGATGGTAACATCCCCCCCTGAGAGAGAGGAAGGAGGAGAAATGCAAGTCAGAGGGACCAACCAAGGGGTTTCGGCTCCTGCCCAGAAGCTGCAGGGACCTCAGGGCTTAGAGGATAATGTTTGGACAGCCCAAAGTCCACACTTTGAATTTTAGTTGCCCTAACCTCAACCTCATCCACAGCCATCTCATTACTCTACATTCTACAACATCAACATTCTCTCTAAGCTAATCTTCAACCTCTCTGCCCAACACACGACAATTAGATGTCAGCAGAAGCCTGGGCAGGACTAAGCTGGAGGTGGGCTGCACACCCACCCCTTACTGACACAAACCAGCCCTCGTGGATCTGGAAAGCTTCCCAGAAGACATGACCTCAGCAAGCCTTAAAGGACAAGGAGGAGTTAGTCAAGTGGAGCTTCCCAAGCAGAGATCAGAGAGTACAAAGGCCTGGTTGGGAGTGAGCACAGTGTATTCAAGGAAGGCTGGATCTCAGAGGATGTGGAAGGGAAGAGAAAAGTGTCCAGACATGAGAGTACAAAGGAAAATGATTATGACATGCTAAGGATATTCAGGCTTGATCCTGAGAGCAATGGGTTTTAAGGGCAGAAGCAGAGGGTGAAGATGATTAGATTAGGACTTCAGAAAGCTTTGTTCATGCAGTAAATATATTTACTGAGCATCTACTAAGTTCTCGGGGTACAGGCGTGAGTAAAACAAAACCTTGGCCTTCCTTGAGTTCTGTTATAGAGGTAGAGACAAATGAGGTAATGCAAAACTATTTAATCACGATCATGGTGATTATTACAGAAAGAGAAAATACTCAGAATTCATTCATTAATATTCATTATGTGCCTCTATGCCAGGTGCTGAGAATACAGCAGTGAACCAATCAGACAAAATCCCTCTGCTCCTGGGGCTTACAGTCTAGTGGCAAGAGACCTACAACAAACAAAATGAAACAAACAAAACACACTGTAAGTCAGATGGTAATAAATACTATGCTGAAGCATTAAGCAGGGAAGGAGGATAAGAACTGCTTGAGGGATAGGGCAGGAATGTCATTTTAAATTGGGTAGTTAGGGAAAGCCTCATGGAGCAGATTATGTTTGAGTAAAGACCTGAAGGAAGTGATGGAGCAAACTCTGTGGGTCTCTCAGGTTAAGATGTACCAGATGAGGGACTAGCAAGTGTAAAGACCGTGAGGCAGGAGTGTGCCTGGAAAGTCTAAGGACCAGCAGGAAGGCCAGTAGCTGGAGCAGAGTAAGTGAGAGAAATAATAGTAGGGCCAGATTCTAGGCAGGGCAGCAATGTCTAGGAAATTGGTCAGATCCTGAATATATTTTGAAGGTAGAGTCAAGAGGGTTTGCTGACAGATTAGATATGAAACATTGGGAGCGGGAGGTTGAGGATGGCTCCAAGATATTTGGCCCGACCAACTAGAAGACTAAGTTGTCATTTATTCAGGTGAGGAAGGCTGCAGGAGGAACAGGTATGGACAGGAAAGTCATGAGTGCATTTCTGGGCACATTAAGCTCGAGATGTACATCAGACAACCACAGGAAGATATCGAGTAGGTAGCTGATTATACAAACAAATCTGGAGATATAAATGGGAGAGTCATAGAGTCATCAGCATGGAAAGGGTATTTAAAGCCACGAGGTGATGGAACCGCTTGGGAGTGAGTGTAGACAGAAAAGGGGAGGGCTCAGAGGACAGCTCCTGAACCCTGGCATGCTCAGACTTTCAGCTGCGAAGAACAGGAACCAACAAAGGAGAATGGAACAAATGCCAGTGAGGTGGCTAGAACCCAGAAGTGTGGTGCCCTGGAAGCCAAAGGAAGTGTCTTCCAAGGAGGAGAGAGAGACAAACACTGCCAAGTCCAGTAAGGTGGGCTCATAACTGACTCTTGTACTTAACAACATGGGTCAGAAGTGAAGCTCACAGCCTTTCTGGAGCAACTGGAGTGGAGAGGGCAGGCTGGGTTGGGGAGGCGGGTAGAATCTAGAATGGAATTGAGGAAACAATAGGAAGAGAGGAATGACAATGAGCATTAACTCTTTTGAGTTCTGTCATAAAGCAGAGCAGAGAAATGGAGTGGTAACTGGAGGGATGTGTAGGATCAAGAGTTTTCTCTGATAGGAGACATTACAGCCTATTTATGTGCATAATACACACAAACACACATATGGAATGATCCAGAGAGAAGGGAAAACGGATAAATGCAGGAGAGGTGGGGGAGCAGGGTGTTTGCAGGAACAATGTCTTTAGGTAGATGAGAAGGTTTGGGGTCTCATGACACACACTTGCCCTTAACTAGGAGCACAGCACGTCTGCCATGGGAACAGGAGAGAAGGCAGTGCAGACAGACACAGACACAGCCGGGGAAGAGATGCTGTGATAAGAACATGTGGATATTTGCTATGAGAAAACAGAAGCGATCAGAAGAGCTAGGAAACAAAGTCATCAGCTGAGGAGACATTTGGAAGTTGGAAGGGCAAAAAGATAAGAAACAAGATGTTTAGGAGAGCAGAAGAATAAGTGGGTGAGGGCAGGGTAAGAGGCTAGCTGGGCAGCGCTTAAGGACGCATCTGAGGATAGTGACAACAAATTTAAAATGAAACCAGGGACTTCCTTGGCGGCCCAGTGGTTAGGACTCTGTGCTTCCACTGCAGGGGTCACGGGTTGGGGAACTAAGATCTTGCATGCTGTGAGGAGCAGCCAAAATAAATAAATAAAATAAAACTAGTCAACACAGTTGTGTATATTATACTAGGAGGGCCTGGGGGTGGGAGTGTCCAGTAGGCTTTCCCTTGGTAGTGATGTTTGAGCTGAGCGCTGAAGAAGGCATATGCATTAACCAGGTGGTACAAGGGTTCCAGACATACAGTACAGCCAGTGTGAAGGCTCCAAGGAAGGGGACATCGTGATAGGCTTGAAAAACTGACAGGAGGGTACTAGGTAGCACAAGGAGTACAAGAGGGAGAGGGAGAGGCACAGAAAGAGGCTAGAGGGAGACGCAGGGCCTTGGAGGCCATGCCAAAGGGGTTAGTTCTATCCTGAAAGCAACAAGAAGCCATTGAAAGATGGGGAAGAGATGCCAAAAGATCACTCTGCCAGTCGGGTGGAATGGGCAGCGGTCTAGGTGTGGGCAAGGGGTAGAAGCAGGAAGACAATTTTGACTAATTGTAGCCTTCTAGGCAAGTGATGGTGACAAGGACTGGGGAGCCATCAGTGTGGATGGAAAAACAGGAGATTCAAGAGATTTTAGGAGATAAATCCCTCAGACTTGGATAATGGAGTTGGGGGTGAGAAAAAGGGACGTGTCAATTGTGGGTCTAGATGTCCCACTGGGTGGATGGTAATTTGATTCACTGAGATGGGGAAGGCTGAGGGAGAAACAGGTTTGGTGGCAGAAGAGCACAAGATCTAGTTTGAGCAAGCCAAAGTTCCCCATAGGGAAGCTCGAAGACACTTGTGAAAATCCAGGGAAAAGATGGCAGTGGCCTGAGCTAGAGATGGAGGGAAGAGGAATAGAGAACTGGGGAAGTATTAAGTTCATATGACCCAAAGGACTCACTGATTGCCAGGATGAGAGGGGAGAGGGCAACAGATGAGAATGACACCCAGATTTCTGACTTGGCAGCAGAATAGGGAGCAAAAGAAGGAGAAGCCAGTCTGGGAGCAAGTGAAAGATGTTTCCATCCATATTACACCCATTTTTCTCCCATTTTAGCATAGCTGCCCACTTCTCATCCACCCATTCCTTCATGGAAAGCTGCTGTTGACACTCCCTCAGTTCTTTCTGAGCCTGCTATGTTCATACTCCTCATCTGACAGAGCTTCTCCCGATGGGTTCCCAGAGAGTCAAGGGAGACACGGCCAGAGCATGTCCACTGGCTCTGCACATACCTCGCCATAGTTCTCATCCAGTAACGTCTTCCCCCATCTTCACCACTAGACCATAAACTCCTTGGGGAGAGGAAATCTATCTTACTCATTGTTGTATCCCAATACCTAGCATGATTCTTGGCACATAGGGGACTCCAAATACATGTTGGTTGGATGAATAGAAGAAAGAATGCCTGCCTCTGGGAAGACTTCCCTGAATGTGTTTTGTGTTATGTCCCTATGAACAAGGACATGTTAATTTGCATTCCTAGGGAGATGACATCGTGTTTTTAAAGGAACGTTTTCGGTGTAAAGTTTTGCCTGCCCATTAGATTATAAACTAAGGAACCGTTTCCTTTGTAGTTTTTGGTTCTTAACAAAAATGGAGCAAAATTTTCCTTACCTTTTCCTTTCCCTTTTCCTTTTCCTTAGTCTGCAGTGCCTAATTCCTACCCCACTTCCCACAAAACACACCCTAACCCTCAGAAACTCATAAGCTTGTTCCTCCCAAGCAATGAAAACCTAAAGAATCAAAAATATATTCACAATGAAGTCATAAAGTACTCATGAGGTTTAATACCTGCAGATTACTCCCCCTACAGGATACACCCATATATGCATCTTGACAGAAGACCATACATAAAGCAAAGGAGATTTTTCCTTGTAAATATCCATGAAATCACAAAGAGCAAAAAGGTAGGAAAAACTCCTTCTATTAAGGCCTGCCCGATTTTTATTCCTTGCCCCCAAATTAACCACCTTGGGTGCTTTGACAGCCAATCAGCGCTGTCTGGCACACAGGAGCAAGTAGGGGCACACACGCAAAAAAGTTTGTTAGAAAGAAGGGACTAGGCTGGTTCCAAACCACTCCCCTCTCCCAAGAATACAGGAAGTGACAACTTCTCCACATCCCCGTCCTCCCCCCCACCCCCTCCCACCGCAAAGCTCACGCACCCTGCAGCGCTGCCAAGATACCCACGATGCCCGTCCCAGCGCCCAGTTCGATCACTTTCTTGCCTCGGAAATCCACATTCTGACTCTCGAAATAGTTGCACAGGCTTAGAGCCTATGGGAGAAAAGAGAGAAAAGATAAGACTGTAGCGGGGATTTGGCTCCATATGGGAAAGCGAGAGTCCGGGGTCTGACCTTCCGCGGACCCTAGCCCAAAGCCGCTCACTCCTCACCGCGTCCCACACGTGCGCTGCCACCCCGAGGCGGGACCCGAAGTTCTCCGTGATGCTCAGCACGTGCCCACAGAAGTAGAACCGGCTCTTCTCCGAGTAAGAGTCGGCGAAGAGTCTGACCTCCCGTGGGAACACGGATTCGGGCTCTGATTCGGGATCTGGGCGGGGATCCACCATCTGGCCGCGAGAGTGCCCGGTCGCCGGCCAGCGCTTGGATCCTGGATCTGAAGCGGCGTGGGGGTTGAGGACCGCGGGCCGTCTCGGCTGCCCAGTGGCACCGAACCCCGCCTCCCCGAGTTTGCCCTCCTTTCTCCAGTTTGACTTCCCGGAGGTGGAATGAGGAGCTGCCTCCCTAGCTCCGGTCCCCAGCGCACACACGATGGGACTCACGCCGGACCACGGGGGTCAGACCCGGTCGACTGCTCGGAGAGCGGGAGAAGGGGAGAGGAGGGAGGATTAATTCACCGTAGGAAGCGGGGTCCCTGGACCCCTCTCACCTGCGGGGTGCACGGGGGCCTGCAACCGGGGTGGTAACCCAGACCAAACAGAAGCAGGCTAAGGAAATTAGCGTTCCTCCCTGCCCAGCCCAGCAGAATTCACTCCTGGAGCTTTAAGGGGTGGGCTCTGCTCACTACGTGCCTTCGTGCGTCATTCTCGTGCGCCCTGAGCCTCGGTCGTGGTCCACGTGGGTTCGGTGGATAAACCCGGGCTGGGGATCATGGCGGGAACCGAGACTGGGGACGCCGCAGCAGGAGCCGAGGCCCCTCAGCCTCAGAAGCGCTACTATCGGCAGCGGGCTCACTCCAACCCCATGGCGGACCATACGCTGCGCTAGTGAGTGAGCAGGGCAGGGGCGAGCGGGGGAGGGAGAGTAGGGCAGAATTCTCAGAGTAGCCGGGAAAAGCGATTGTGCTGCGACGGTTGGAGGGTTTAGGGTAGGCTCCGGAGGATCAGCTGGGTGACGTCAGTTTGCGGAGGGTGGGTCGGAGAGATTGGGCAGAGGGCGGAGTTGGAGGGTTAGGAGGGGGCGTGGCGTTCTGGCCGAAGGCTGGGTAGGGTTGCAAGTCTGGAAAGAGAAAGAAATTGTTACTGAGACTAAAGTAATGGAGGCCGAATGTCGTTTCCATCTTTCAGTTTCATCTGTGGGATTTAAAACAGGACAAACTTGGGGGGAGGGATTAATTGGGAGATTAGGATTGACATATGCACTACTATACATATAAAGTAGGTAACTAATAAGAACCTACTGTATAGCACAGGGATCTCTACTCAATACTCTGTAATGACCTATATGGGGAAAGAATCTAAAAAAGAGTGGATATATGTATATGTATAACTGATTCACTTTGCTGTACAGCAGAAACTTACACAACATTGTAAATCAACTATACTTCAATAAAAATTAATTTTAAAAGAAGACAAACTTATACACAATCCTGCCCACATCTTACTCCATCCTCTTCCCGCAGAGAACTTCAACAAAGCAAAGTCCCTATGCCTTAGGAAGCCAGTCTCTGGGACAAGGGGAACTTGAGCCCCAGAAAGGAGAGCCGCCCAAGCAGAGTCACATCAACCCTGGAAATGGGAGACAGGCAGATCAGCAATAATGGGCCTCTTGATAGGCCTATGATTCACACTGGGAGGTTAAGGGTGGTTTCCATTGTGCTTCCTAGAGGCCAAAGGGCCCGCTCTTACAGAATTTTTGAGAAACCCTCCTCTCATCCATCTCCCACCCTCACCCATCCACCCCCACACACAGTACTGCTCCTGCAATGGTATGACCAACCTTCTCATGTTTCTCACGTCTTCTCTCCAATAGCCCTGTGAAGCCAGAGGACATGGATTGGTCTGAGCTATACCCAGAGTTCTTTGCTCCACTGACTCAAAATCAGAGCCACGATGACCCGGAGGATAAGAAAGAAAAGAGAGCTGAACCCCAAGTGGAGTTTGCAGACATAGGCTGTGGCTACGGAGGCCTGTTAGGTAACACTCTGGCCCTTTCTCTGGAGCAAGGAGAGGCAACGCCTAGGTTCTGCCAACTCAGCAGCTTTGGGGCAGGGGCATAGTTGGCCTTTCCCCTTCGGACCAGACATTGGTGCTGTGACATCAGTGTGGAGAACCTCCACTTTCCCTCCACTCTGGGTCTGTGGCCTTTGCCCTGGAGAAGGGAGGGGGCTGCCTCAAAGCCTCTTAGAAATTGGGTTGTCTTGTCTGGCCCTGCCCCTGGCCCCAGTCCCTACGTGAGCCATTTCACCTGCCAGGTGCCGGGTCAGTGAGCCGGTGAGCACAAGCGTCAGAGATTAGTCGCTGTGGCCAGTGATCCTGAACTGTCTTTCTGGGGATTCCACCACCACCCCTCCCCCTCCCCCCTGCCTCACCAGAACTCATTCCTTCTCCATGCTCATATTTTCGAATTTCTCTTGTGTTGTCTGTATTGTCCCAGCCATACATGCTGGACCGACTTCTCTGTTTTTAGATCTTCCATAGAAATAACAGCATGACAGAGAGGAAGCTCATGGTACTTGGTGGCGGAAAACCATGGTTCAAGCTCTGATTCTGCTTCTTAGCTCTGTGACTTCGGGCGTTTCCTACCCTCAGTTTTCTCATCTTTGCAATTTACCACAGAACGTAATGAGGATTAAATGAGACATGTGTGAAAACACTGTCAAGACTTTAAAGCACATGCAAAGATACATGTATTCTCAGGCCCTCCCACTTCCAGTCCTGGTGACTTTTTTTGGGTCTCCCCCAGCCCACTCCTCCAGCACAGAGCCATCCATACAGGTAGCTCTCTTGCCACACTTGTCATTATTGATTTTGGTAATTGCAGATTGAGGCTTCCTTTTCCTGTGTTGACTCCTTTGAATATCCTGCAAGTATGAGGTTGATGATTCCATTCCTATTTCTGTGACCAGTGGAACTATCACCGCTGTTCCCAGACACGCTGATTCTGGGTCTGGAGATCCGGGTGAAAGTCTCAGATTATGTGCAAGACCGGATTCGGGCCCTACGAGCAGCTCCTGGAGGGGGTTTCCAGAACATCGCCTGTCTCCGTAGCAATGCCATGAAACACCTTCCTAACTTCTTCCGCAAGGGCCAGGTGGGGAGGGGCACCCATGGGTTAGGCTGGTAAGCAGGTGGGGCATGGAGGCCAGGCTCTCACAACCCTGTTGGTGCACGTCTGTCTCACAGCTGACAAAGATGTTCTTCCTCTTCCCTGACCCACATTTCAAGCGGACAAAGCACAAGTGGCGAATCATCAGTCCCACACTGCTGGCAGAATATGCCTACGTGCTGAGAGTTGGGGTGAGTCGAGAGTGGGAGGGAGGATGGGGTCAGGGACCTTCCACTAAGAATTCAGTGGGGGTGCATTTAGGACTCACCCCCCCCCCCCC